TTTCGGTGCGTTATCTATGTAACATTATGATCAAACGTTGGCTATACTGAGTATTCTCTCAGAAGGGGAAACATAAAGTGGCGACGCGTGTGTAATACGATATCGATACGTGTTTTTATCGAGCCGAGTGATATAATTAGACATTTTTATCGTTTTATTTTTCCGTTGCCTCGCGGCTCGCGGCGCTCACGCAGTTGCCGTGTCGTCGTGTCGTGTCGTGTCGTCGTGTCCTCCTCATAGAGTTTCGTTGTTTTTATAAATAAATAGTGTTCAGCGTTCTCTTAAAACTTTTCTATTGTTATTTTGGAACGATTTGTTTGAGTTTTAGTCATGTCTGATTCAGAAATGATTGACTGTGAAAAACTAAAAAACAAAAAATGTAAACGTATGTGTTCCTACAGACAAGAATGGGAGCAATCGTATCCTTTTTTAAAAAGAGTTGATACAAATGTTCATAAAGCTTTTTGCAACGTGTGTATGAAATCATTTATGATATCGCATGGAGGTTTGAATGACGTTAAACGGCATATTAGCGTTCCGGAACACCTACGGGGAGAAAGAGCTCGAAAGAATACTCAAACTTTACAACAGTTTTTAAAGCGCGATGTATTGACAACAGTCGAGGAAAAAGTGATTGCTGCAGAGTTGACAAAAGTTTACCATAGCGTGAACCATAACATGTCATATAATTCTATTGACTGCGATTCAAAGCTAAGTCCCGTGATATTTAATGATTCTCAAATTGCATAAAAAATATCGCTTGGTAGAACTAAGGCGTCATGTTTAATTTACAACGTTCTGGCTCCAGCATCAATCGAAGAAATTGTGGAAAAACTGAGATTAGGCGTGTTTTATAGTATTTCGACTGATGCGTCAAATCACGGACATATAAAATTATTTCCAATTATTGTCAGATTTTACTCGCCAGATAATGGAATTAGCACCTGCCTGCTTGATTTTTATGAGGACCCAGATGAAAAAGCTATCGATATTTATAGTAATATAAAAAATAGAATTAAAGCGCTGGGCCTAGATTTCACAAATGTATCTGCTTACTCAGCCGACAACGCCAATGTTAATTTTGGAAAAAATAATTCAGTTTACAAACTACTTTTTCAAGATAATGCCAACATCTTGCCTGCAGGGTGTTCAGCACACATGGTACACAATGTCATCCGTCATGCTATGGAAAAGTGTGAGTTTGACGTGGAAAATTTGGTACTTAAAGTGTATGGGCACTTATCCTACCATGCCCAAAGAGTACAAACTCTAAAAGAACATTTTGCTGATGCTGGAATAGAATACCAAAATATTATAAGACACGTCAAAACGAGGTGGCTATCATTGCATCCCGCTATTGGAAAAATTCTACGCGGATTTCCAGCGTTGAAGTCTTATTTTATGTCTCTTGGAGATAACTGTCCAGTGGCATTAGGAAAATATTTTAATGAAAACCACGCAAAAAAAACAGAATGTTTTCTTGGATTTCTAGATAATACTTTAAAAATATTTCAGAATGTCATCATGTTTTTGGAAAAAGATAATGCTTTATCTTGTGAAACTTTTAACATCTTAACAGATTTACGCTTAAAAATAGAACAAAGAATCAACGACAAATTCTTTGGATTTATTTGTACAAATTCCCTGACCAGTTTTACAATTGATGAACAAGAATCCATAAAAATTGTTTTGGTTACATGGTACAAAAATGCATTGAAATATCTGGACGATCACTTTAATTTTTCGGAAGATAATAATTTGGCTACAATGCGAATATTTGCTTTGGAAAATACATTTATCTACAAGGATCTCTCTATGTGTTGTGAAAAATTATCACTCACCAAACTCATAGATATGGACGAACTTTATAATGAGTTTTGCAGTATTAAAGAAACTCTGGATAAAATTATTGAGGAGCGTAAGCAAACACATTCGTCGAATGAAAAAAAAACTATTTATGAAACTTGGCATGAACTGTTTCGGCATTTGAATATACCGAACTTATTAAAGATTTTCCAGTTTAATGTGTCTATTCCATGTTCAAATGCCGCTGCTGAGAGGGCATTTTCACTTTGCGGAAACGCCTGGACTGATTCAAGAAATAGACTGAGTGTTGAACACGTAAAGGCAGAACTGCAAGTAAAAATTAATTTTCAGTACAATTGCAAAGATTTTTATGACTATGTTATTAAAAATAAAAAATTGCTCAAATGTGCCAAATCACAAGATAAGTACTCTTTCAAAAATAAAAACTAATTGTCTTGTGATAAGGTAGGTACTCTTAACTGAGCAAAGTGTTTTATTTAATGATTAATATTGTGTTAAAAAACTTAAGACGATTATTCTGTTAATTTTATTTCAAATTTTAAATAAAACTGATAAAAATGATAAAAATTGTTTTTCTTTCGATTTTGTAAATTTGTAGTATTGTCCCGTTTTTTTTTGTCGAGTCCCGCTTGTAAATATCTGGTTTCCCGCTTATCCGCAAATAAGAGTTGGCAACCCTAGTTACAAGACACAAATATCTTGTTAATCGATGTACAATTAAATACATTTATATATCCAAAATTATAATTGTTATAAATGATGGTCATCGTTTAGCAGCTATATCTTACACGCACAGTTCAAACTGATGGTTGATTTTCTGCATAGTTGCAGGTGGCGCATTAATGCGAAGGTACCTGTATGGAGAAACAGTTGGGTATGCGTGTGACGGAAGACGGATTATCACGGGAAAGTAGGTAAGGAGATTCAATAATAATTATACCAACAGGTCTGCCTGTCCTGAGTTTCGGACCTGAGAAAGGATGTGTCGGCCATCGGTCTCCCATGAATATAATTCGCTTGTCTGATATTTAAAGCAAAAGCCACAAGCCTATGAAACTTAGCGCCGGACCTGCACACGCGCAGAACAAGCGGTTCCTGTCAGGTAAAAACACGTACGTGTTCCCAACCCCCCATCCAAAGAAAATCTCGAACATTTCTATCCAAATATTAATATTCATTCAGTTATACCACGTGACATGGTTTTAAAAAATATACTCCCATATTAGGTACCAAATGTCTTAAAAAACAATGTGGCATGCACCAGATTTCATTTAAATTAAATATAAATACAAATATATATATATTGTAAACCTAATGTATAACCTAATGCCATAAAGCATAAATTAAATTATTGTAATTAATTTAAAACAATTTAAACTTAATTTAGGGTAATTATTGTTATTATTTTATAATTCGTATCAAATAATATTTTGAAAAATACAACGGTAAAATATTTTAGTTTGTATATTATTATATATTCGTTTGCTCAATAATTTTCAGTTATTAATTAATTTAATATTTCATGTATTTTAGAGACACTTATTATAAGAGCACTTTCTATAGAGCACAACGTAACGCGATGGCGAAAATACCACATCATATTTAAAATCATGGTGACTGAAAAGACGCTGCCCGTAAGCCGGACGAAAATTGCAGGAGCGAACCCCTACCCTAGCATACACACACACACACTGCAAATATATAATCGAATATACCGTTTGATTACTTCTTTAAAGTAAATATTCATCTGCAGCAAGCCGGCGCGGTGAATAATTAAACGGCGCGGCGGCGGTCGATTATTAATTATTATTATTGCATCGCCTCCGACGTCATTTTGTGTGAGTTTATACCCCTCCAAAATGGAGACAGAACACACACACACACACAATCACATATTGTGAGACTGAATCTCGTGAGCGAAGATTTAGTTGAATTTTGTGGGGTGCTTAATAATAAGCACACTTATTTTAAACAGGCAAACGAATTCTCGAGAGTATTTTATTACTAAACTATATACCAATCAGTATATTACCAAACTATTGTACAATAGTTGACCTCAAAAATATATTTAATCATTTTTATGGATGAAATAATATCTTTTTTTCAGGAGAATGTAACGATATGAAAAAATATAAAAACTATATATTATATAGTGTTACACTATATTTAATTTACAAATCTATCCTACGATGAACAAAATGTTGATATAACCATATACCTAGGTACCTACTCGTCAAACGGAGACATTATTCTCAATTTTCGGGGGCTAAGCTCCTGTATAAGATCCCCCGCCCATCATCAAAAAGATCTCTGTCAACGTGTACAACTATGACATACAAACATATTATTATTATATATAGAATTGTTACGTCGTTATTGCAATAACATAATATGCTGTTATTAAATTGTATGATTTGCACGCGCAGTATAGGTTCGTATACAGTTTTCATGGGGGAGGGAGCTGTTTCTTAAAAAGCAATATTCGGAATGTTATTGTTTATTCAAATTTTAATACTCTCGACCGTGTTATTTATAATTAAATTCCATAAACGGGAACAATAACAGTGTCGTGCAGCTGCACGCGGTACACACCAATATAATAATGGTTCGTGCGCGATTGTGTGTGTATTGATTTGTCACCCACATTGAACGATTCACGTATATAAAGTAGTGGTCACTGGTCGTAGTATATAATATATATATTGTCGTAGTATAGTCATCGTCGTCGTCGTCGTCGTACAGTCGCCACCGTAGTACTTATATACATCTATATATATATATAATGGAGGTATTAGATAATAGTAACGCTTGGTTTCTCTGTGAAAACAAAAGTTATTTATTACTTATTATTTATATTATTTACAAATTTACAAATTTACCTGTGAAAACAAAAGAAACAACAATTTATGTTACTATTAAATGTTAATGTTTATGTTACTATTACTTATTAATTGTCACTCTTAATTATTATTTACAATTTAACTATAATATTAAAATCAATTTGCTTGGTTAACAATCCTCATATATTATCATTATCAATTTTACATTATCATTATCAATGTTTGATTATAATAATAATGATAATAATATTTAAAAGAAAGTATTTTCTTTACATCTCCCCCACCCACTGTGAAAATTCTTATGAGAATTTTTATTATCTACTGTAGTACTGTTCATTCTGGTATTAATTTTGTTATGTGGAATAGTCCTGTTTCTTCATTTCTTTTTCCTGTTTCAATTTTAAATATGGTATTTGATATTTTCTCTGTTATTTTGAAAGGTCCAATCCTGAGTTCATCTAATTTTTTTCTATTTATTTTATTTCCGTTTTCAATATATACAAAATCACCTGTTATGAATTCTTTTTCTTTTCTGTTTTTGTCAAAGAGTTTTTTATTGTATTCATGAGATTTAATAGTGTTATCTAGAGCTTTTTTCCTATCATTCTTCCAATCTTCTGCATTTTTATGTTCTTTTAGTTCTTCAGGTAACAAGTTTGTGTTGGTCCCATCTAATAGATATTTTGGTGTAAAACCTGTTACTGAGTGTTCTGTTAAGTTATATTTGTCAATACATTCTCTTGCCGTTGTTGTCCATGCTTTTTTTTCTGTGGATTCATTGATTCTGCATCTTATTTTATTTATTATTGTTTGATTCAATCTTTCATTTAGGCCATTAGAAAAGGGTGCATTTAAGGCTGTATAAATAAGTCTGATATTTTGTCCTTTCAAAAATTCCTTGAATTCCTTAGAGTTCAGTCCTGGATATTGGTCTGTTAATATTGTACCTATCTTGTTTATTTCTAGTGTGTCTTGAACTATTCTTATAAAGTCGTTTGCAGCTTGGGTTTTTGAAGTACGTATGAATGCGTATCTTGTATAGTGATCCACTAGAAGATGGAGGTATCTTTTCGTTGATCTTTGACCACCAAACCCACCGATTGTATCAATCGATACTATCTCAAATGGTTGTGTTGCTGGTCCTAATTGTGACATCATTCCATATTTTGCTTGACCTCTAGATTTATTTCTCTTACAAATGTCGCATGTTTTGCATATTTTTTGTATGTTTTCTATTAATCTTTTTGAATAATAGTATGGGCATATTCTGTTTTTCAGTTGGTTTGTGCCAATATGACACCAATTTATATGTGTATTTCTTATTAATTCAATACTTAGCTTTTCTGATAATACTATCTTTTTTTTATTCTTACTTTGTTTATAAATTATACCATGTTTGTCTATTATTTTTTCCTGAAGTTCTTTTAATGCAATATTTTCATCTTGATCTTTTTTTATTTCTTGAATTTTTATTGTATTTACTATCCGTAATGTTTCTTCAGTATTATCTACTGATTCCAATACTGGGTTCCTACTAAGACAGTCTGCTTCAGTATTGAGTTTACCTGGTATGTATTTAATATTGAAATCAAATTGGGATAGATAATATGTTAGAGCTCCTAACTCTTCGTCTGTTCTAGCTTTTATGTTAAGGTTTTCTAGAGGTTTATGGTCTGAATATACTTCAAATTTTCTTCCAATTAACCAGTATTCCCAATATTTTACCGCTTCTTTTATTGCTAAACATTCTAAGTAAATGGCTTTTTTTTTTTTTTGTGTCTCATTTAATTTTCTTGAAAAATAGGCCACTGGTTTTTCCTCTCCATTTTGTTGTGTCTGTTTTAGTATTGCACCCATACCTTCTATTGAAGCATCTGTAAATATTTTAATTGGTAAATCTTTATCAAATATTTCTAGCACTGGTTGAGAACATAATAATTTTTTTATTTGTGCAAATGATTTTTCACAATCCCCAGACCAATTAAATTTTATATTTTTTCTCAACAGTCTATGTAATGGTTCTAGAATTGTTGAGATTTTTGGAATGTATTCGTGATAAAAGTTTATTTTACCTAGAAACTGTCTGATATTCTTCTGTGTTTTTGGTGTAGGGAAATTATATATTGATACCAAGTTGTCCTTGATTGGTCTTACTGTATTATTTTCTATTATATGTCCAAGATATTTGATTGACTTGGATGCGAACATGCATTTTCTTAATTTCAATCTAAAACCTTCTTTTATTATGGCCTCTAAAACTTGTTTTATATGAATTATATGATCTTCAAAAGTTTCTGAAAATATTAAAATGTCATCTATATAATTTTCTGTAAAGTTCTTAAGATTATTTTTTCTTAGTATACTAGATAAAATTCTTTGGAAAATTGCTGGTGCTGTTTTTAGGCCGAATGGTAGGCAAGTCCATTGATAATGTCCTTCTTGAGTTATAAAACCTGTTTTATTTCTATCTTCTATCCTTAATGGTATTGACCAAAATGCTGAATTGATGTCCAGTGATGTAAAATATTTACAGTTTCTAGCTTTAATTATTAGGTCATCAATTAACGGAAAAGGTTGAGCTTGGGGTGTCACAATTTTATTTAGATCTCTAAAATCAATGCATAATCTAGTCTTTCCTTCACCTTTTTTTAAAGCTAGAGTCACTGGTGCTGCAAATGGACTGTACGACTCCTCAATTAAATTTTCCTTTAATAGTTTTGCCACTTGCTGTTCTATTTCTTTTCTGTCCTCGATTGTACATCTATAAGGTCTCTTACTACAAAATTTATCTACTAAGAGATCTATTCTTGCTTCATAGTCTTTTAGAGTTCCTACATCATATTTATCTTTGGCAAATATTGTTTTATAATCTTCTATAAGTTGTTCTACTTTAATTTTTTTCTTATAATCTAAATGGTGTAAATCTATTTTAAAATCTTTTTCTATAATATGTTCATTAAAATTTATTTCTATCATATCTGCCTTTTGTAATTGTTTTTGGCTTATAATTAGATTTTCATGTCTCAATTTAAATTCTTTTATTATATCTAGGCCTATCAAAAAATCGTGAAAGTTTTCATTTTCTACAATAAACACATCTACTTTTTTTTCAATGTTGAAAATTTTTAATTTTATCCTTGTTAATCCTTTTGTGACTGACACACCACTAATTGTTTTTAATTGTATTTTGTTCTTATCTTTATTATTATTTATAGTTTTTATTAATTTTTTATTTATCAATGAAACTTGAGATCCTGAGTCATAGATCCCTTCTATTTTTAAGCCCCCCCCCCCCCCATTGCCCGTATTATTATTACTATTTCAAAAACATTTTAATCCGTTTAAACTGTCAACTATAGTAAATTTCATATAATATATATCTTACCAGAAATCATTCATTTTTGAAAAAACATTGTATTTGCATACCAATTTTCATAAATTATCTTTAATTTTTTGGTAAAATTATTTGTATGGAAGACCCTGTATTAAATTGTCTAACCTTAGCTATACAATATACATATTTTATATTTTATAAGCTACAAATTAACAGTGGTTTTGACGAAATTTGAACTTTAAATGCTTATAAAAAATAACCATGATGCCTATGTAATTATAACCATACTTGTTACCAAACAATATAAAGCAATTTTTATTTTTTTTTCTAATCAATTTTAAAAGCACTGATAACTATAGAACAATATAAGAATCTTTACTTTTCAATTGTATTTTTGTATTTTTGTTTTTACCATTATTGTTGTATAGCATCACATTGTTGTCGACGACGTAAACCGGATGTATATTAGTATAATATTTACCGACCGATATTTACCAGTTCGTAATCAAATGTGAGCATATTGCGAAATAAATAAATATTAATAATAGCCTAATAATATATCTATGTCGTTCACAAGCGTTATCTTATTGGACAACAAAAAATAAAATAAATACTTATTAATTTAAAAAAAAAATTATATATTAAATTATTAAAATATAACAATATTATAATATTTTTGTCCTGCATTTTATTTTTTTAAATATGGTCACCCTAGTGTAGGGTATAATGGTGTAGGAAATGTTTGGACTTTGTAGGGGGGTTATTGATATTTGTAAGGGAGCTTAGCCTCTAAGCCACCGTTATTTGCGCCTATGCTACTCACGCTATCAATGGAGTATATAATGTAAAATTACTAATCATTTTAAGTTAAAATTTTATTAGTAACTTATACAATATAATCAACCACTGTGCTCATATTGAAATTCATTAAATGCATTCACTGGATGACGCGAAGCTCTCGTTCAGAGGTCCAACTAAACATTTGACTAGTTGAGCAAGGAAAGTAATAAAAATAATAAAATTACGTTACCTATACTCGTCACATTGAGTATATGTATTTAAACTATATTTTCGTTACCCGAAATATTTTTAACAAGTTACGTTTATTACTTTAAAAAAAAATAAATTACAAAATCAGTCCATACATAAGAAACCATTTCGTTCTAATACTGATATATTATTTAATACTCATGGCATTGTTAATCTAAAGAAATCTCATGCTAAAGAATTACTAACAAATTTATATTTCTATAAAATTGATAGCGTCAGTTTCAACCACAATTATTCTACACGCATAGGCGTGCGCAGACTTAAATTTCTGGTCGAGCCTAGACAATTATAGTGCCCTAATATTTTGGACTGCGCCCCTAATTTTTTTTTTTAACACACCAACATAAATGTTGATAATATATTAAACTATTAATGTCTATAGTACTATAGTTATTGTATTTGTACCTATAAAGGTATAATGTTTTTTTTAGATTAATAAAATGTATGTAATGGTTAGGTTAGGTAGGTACACACAAATATTTTTGATTTTTTTATACTTTCACGACAAACACAATTTTCATGATCTCCACGAACATATTATTATAATATAAGCATTATAATAAAATATTTAAATATATACGCACATTTTACTATGCCCCTAAAAAGTTTCAGGTCGAGCCTGGGCTTGACCGGCTCGCCCCGTGCGCACGCCTATGTCTACACGTAATACAATAAACAATAATTTTAAAATAAATAAATATAATACCGAATTTGGTAAAAGAGATCCATTCAATATAGGTATGCATTTATGCATGCAATATGATATTCCTATTAAATTTTTTAATAACTATGATCAATATAAAAAATTCATCAAGTACAAGATAAAAATTTGTTTGTAAATACCTACATAGTACCTATATATATCAATTATTACATTACATTTCAACATTTTCCAGTTTTATCTATTATTTTATATTATTGAGTATTATTATATTTATTACTATTAAGTTATTTTATAATAAGGAATAAGGATGAACCAATGTAATTACCAATGGCTTTTGGAGACAATCATTTATCATTTATCATTTGTGTAATTTAATTAAATTTTATATTTTGGTTGTATTTGTATATTTCTTTAAATGGAATAAATTATTATTATTATTTTAATACTTACGTCTTTAATCAATAATGAAATATTGAAATCCAACAAAATACTTTTTAACTTACGGGCTATGGCTAATCGTTTTAGAATTTTAGCTAAATTATTCCGAATTGATGATAAAACTCTTTTATTATTTTTTTTAAAGTTAATCACATTCGTTATAAGAATATAATTAATTACAAATATATATTAAATATTATCCCGAATATTATAATATCAATTAATGGTAAGGATAAAATATTTAACTAACCCATTATTTTATTTTACCATATTAATTGAATTGCTAAATGCAGAAAGGGCACATGTCCAATATTTCACAAAAATCACTTTATTGCATAATCGAATTTAATATTGATAAATACATGGTTTTGTGCAGACAAGGCACATGTCCTATTAAATAGAGATCCCCGTTAAAAATAATTTAAAATTTCGTTAATTGCAGAAAAGGCACATGTCCTGGACATGTAACCTTTTTGCATCAAAATTATACTTTAGTAATATTATCAAACCTAATCTTCGTGAAATCACTTAATTGTTTGACATGTAATATTGTTCTATTTATAATATTTATTTATCATATAAAGGCTGTATCATTTACAAAAAACTGACAAAATCCACAAACAAACCAAAAAAGGTAGTAATTCCAAAACAACAAGGCACCTCACGTCGTCAAGCATCGCATTCACCACCGTCTGGCCAATCATACGCCAATGTAACAGCTGCCCAACCTGCAATATCTCGTGCTACAGATTCAAAGTCGTGTTTGAAACGAACTTAAAACACTATTAAATCCATTAATCTCTCTAATAACAGTAATTTTAGAATACGAAAACTGTAAAAACTTGGTTTTAATCTATACTTAAACATAATAATAATAATAATAATAATAATAACATAACATAATCCTGGCTACGCCACTGATTGTAATTATCCATAGTACTTAAAAATTTTAATTACCATGTTATAATGTTAAAAATTATGTAAACATTCAATATCCCTAGATTTAGATAGCCTTAGGCTAGGAAAGTCTTATGTTTAATTAATAAAAAAAAAAAAAAATGTTGTACAATTGTTTATCAGTAAATAAAGATTATAATGGTGAAAACGTTGCTATACCTACTTATAAAATAAAATGATTATCAGTGAATAAAATAATATTGTACTGGTTGAATTGAAACGTCGTAGTCGTGTACAAACGATCATAACGTGTATAACTTTAAAATATGAGTTCAGACGACGAGTGTATATTAGTCCTCTCAAAAGAAAAAAAGGTGTTTCTAACTGTTCGAACTTGCCGCCGTTTTTCGCACAACTTTGGCAACCGGTCCGCGAGACCAGGCCCTGATTTACGCAAGTGCAGATGGAGCACTTGCACTTGGCCCCCAATTTTTGGGGGCCCCCGATCTCCGTGAATTGTAGAAAATTTTCTGTATTAAAATTTTTTTTTAAATTAATTATTTTTAATAAATTATAATTCCCATAGACCTTATACTGGTATAAGTTATTCTTCACCTCAATACGTCTGACGTCATATTAAAATAATAATAATAGAAAATTGTTCGAACATCGGAAATATTTGATACATAATAACTATTTATAGATTTCTTCCAGCCCAGTATTTACTGATTAACCGGTCGTTGGTGACGCATTTCGCTCCCACAATTACCATTTTTAGAACTATTGGTTTAGGATATTCAGTTATCCACGGAAATGAATATCGCAAAACAAATGTTATAAATAAACTAATATATAAAAAAAAAATTTTGAATCAGTTATCGAAACTTTTGCAGAGAAAAAAGCAAGAAAGAAATCTTTTTTAACTTTTTTTGTGATAAAATGTTATAGCTAAATAAAAATATAAATATAGAAAATATAGAAATGATTTATTTTTTATTTCATTTTAATTGTATAAAATAAATTGTTAAATTAACAAGTTATTTACCATTTTTATAATTTTATGGAAGATTGATAATTAATTATGTTATTTAATTAGTATTATCTTTTCAATGTCCTTAATTTACCAGACCATGTAAATAAATTGCATTTATAGTATATGAAATAATGTACAAATATTTTATGAATTTTGAGATATTTATTTAATACTTAACATATAAATATTTTGTCTTATTATCAATATTTCCTCCTACTCTCTGTATAGATTTTTTCTAGAACATTTTTTTGACTTGTGGTGGTGGCCGGTGGTGGTAGGGGGTAGGGGGCCCCCAAAAAAATTGTGCACTTGGCCCAAATTTTATTAAATCAGATCCTGCGCGAGACAGCGCATCGCGCGGACCGCGGACGCCGGACTCCGGATGAGTCGCCGCCGGCGACGTATACAAGTCTTGTGCCGTACGGCGTACGCTCTATTTGAGCCAACCGTGCGTGTGTCGCGTCCGGCCGTGGTTTCTGATGCCGTCCTACATCTAATTATTGTTGTTCCGCTCGTTGTATTACGTGTTGCCGCGCCATCCGACGTGAAGGTGTTTTCGA